CTAGTGTTGSAGTTTTTGAAGCCGTTTAAAACACGAGAGTGAGTGTTTTATCAGGTATAAAGATTCTCGCCTTCGGTTCAAATCTTTATACCTGATAAAACACTCTCTCTCGTGTTTTAAACTATACAAAATCAATTCATTTCAAGTGAAACATATATAAGTTAATAGTAACTTATGCACTTTTTAAGCATAATTGACGAAAAAAAGGAACGTTTACACGTTCTTCTTTTAGTTCTCTTGTATCGTGGCATTTGTTCTTCTTGGGCATTTCTTGTGTAATTGAACCTTCTACCGTACGCTTCTGAAAAGGTTGTCAGTAAAGTTAAATACCTTATTACACTACAATAAACATTTTATTGAAAAATAGTTATTTAAAACAAGGATGTTTACAAAATGTGTTKAAAATGGTAAGAGAGTACAAATGAGTTCGCACAGTGAAGTTATTGGAGTAAAATGAATTTGTGCTAATGATTTARAAAATATTATTATAAGTGGAATTTGAAATTATAACTGTGAAACTACTTGGTTGAGAGTTTCTTTTGAGGGATGGAGAGCCATCAGAATCATCAAAACCTTTTTCAGACATTGGACATTTCCTCTTTCTTGGTGTGACTGGCATTTGGTCAGAATCACTTCTACTGGTTGGTTGGACTTCTAGCTCTGGTTCATCATCCTCTTCATCCTCTTCTTGACCTTTTAAATAACAAATTAAAAATGATAAATATAACACCATAATAAATGTGGTCACACATCACAAAGAATGGCAAGAGACCTGTTTTCAAGCAGTATCTGTTCAATAATGTATCAAGTTGTTAGATTGAACACTTTTAAGTATGAAATATTTAAATAAAACCAGTACATCTGAATAATACAGTCTATAAAGAAAAACAACATAAAGGATGATGATATAAAACTATTAATACCTAATTGTTGAAGGCACACATTAACAATTGAATGAGCAATGGTGATCTACACTTGCGCTAATGCCAAGGTTGTCCATAAACATCTCTTCTAGTGTACTTGAATTTTCTAGAATGTTGTGATCTTGATCAATGGATGATGGAGGAGTACTTTGAATTTGTTGAGACGCGTCATCTTTATTATCAGCATCTTGAGATTTCTCAGCCTTGAGAAGAAAAGAATTGTTATAATGAAAACGTTTAATGACCAAATGTAGTTTTAATTTATAGCAAGAGTCCTAAAAGTGAGTTCATTATTGATAATTTTGGGTATCATTGAGCATTGAGCAATAATGTACTTTTTTTGTTATGCTATGGYTTACTAGTTGTCTCCTGTAGTAAGAAAGATGACTTGAAGGAAATGGATGGAAAAATTGTTGTTCAACACTTATAAGTACTTTCCAGAAACACTATGAATTAAATACATTAAATAGGAACAAAGTACACATATTGTAGAAGCGATGAATATTCTTTGAATGACTTGGCTTTAACAATCATGTAAACTATATAATTATTAGTTGTCCATAAGTCAACTTTAAACATCACTAAAGCTTTTCCTTTGTTTGATGCCATGTCAAGAAATAATGAAAGGGGTCTTTACAGCACATATAYACAGAGCAGCACACTGTCACATATAAGCAACAAGGGGATCATACTGGTACCGCATGCACACTTTCATCTCCAACTCATCATGAAAACCAYGGAAGACTTCAAAAGCACCAGCCCTCAAAGAAAACTATGTTCTTTCAACTTCTACATTGTGAACTTTCCCATCTTGATGAGTCTCGTATGTCTTTTCGCCATGAATATACAGGCTTGTAAGAAAATCCACTGCAAAAAAAAAAAAAAAAAAAATTAGGAACAGAAAAATTATGAAATGTATCAAACCATAATATATGATGGGGATGTCTCATATGCATGAGAAATAGTAAATAAGACATGCAGCAAGATTGGATCATCAGCATTTGGGTGTCTACATGTCAAAGAAAGCAATTAACAGAAACATTTAAAAGACGTAGAGGAATAAATGACTTTATAAAGATAGATCAAAGAGGAGCAAACAACTAAATAAAGAATATCGTCATGAGCTAACTTCAAGGAAAATAGAATTTTRCAATTCCATTATTAATGCAGCGTAATTTACCTAAGCGTTCCCTGAAACTGTTACAGGCTTCAATTTCATCAGCTTTACACCTAATAGCGCTGCGCACTCGATCTAAAAATAGATTTTGAATAATTAGACCCCCGCGGAGTTTCGGACAAACTCGATCTCGCACCACACATTTACTGTATATACTCTTCGACTATAATATACGCTTTTTCAGACCCAAAATGGTTGCTACAAAGCACTGTTGTTGGGGGAAATGTACCAGTGATTCAAGGTATCCAGATAAACTCCCAATAACTCTAAAAGAGCTCCAAGAATCGTGCATAAATGTATTTTTACCTTTCCCGAAGCCATCGAAAGACCTAGAGAAATGTCAGCGATGGGTAAATGCTTGTTCTAGGCAAAACTTCTCYGTATCCAAGGTGACTAAAGATACTTATATCTGTAAAGCACACTGGCCTGGTGGAAAAGGTCCCACGACTGAGTTCCCTGATCCTTTGAAGGCGAACTTTACACAGGAAGAAACGACGAAGGCATCGAGAAAGAGACGAAAGCCGCCGAACTGCCGTGCCGCCGAACAACAACGTAAGCGCCTCGAAAGTAATCGATTTCCCTGAAGTACAGGAGGAAAATAACACCGATTTTCAGTCTACATTAGTTCAAGACATGGAGACAAATAATGAAAAGTCCACGCAAACCGAAGTCAAGAAATACGAGTTATCTTGCAAGATTGAAAGCGTGATGCTAAAGAATGAACTGCTCGCCTCAGGGACAATCAAGACGAAAGTACTGAGCAATCTTTCTTTTGAACTCGTCATCAACAATCCAAAGCAAATGAATAATAATAATAAGAAGAAGAAGAAGAAGAAGAAATGCTTATATAGCGCACTATACATAGTCTCAGTGCGCTTTACAAAATATATATAAATAAATATAATAAATACATAAAAATTAGAAATTAGAAAAAACATATCGCAATATTAAAAAAAAACAGAGATTCCCAAAAAAAAAGTCATGTTGTTCTTATTTGGGAAAAAGATGAGTCTTAAGCTTGGATTTAAATGTTGCTAGCGAAGGCTGGTTCTTGACTTCTTCAGCTGGAGTGTTCCAGAGACGCGGAGCAGCATATTCAAAACGTCGATCACCATAAGACAAGGTTCGAGATGGTGGAATCATCAATAAGTTCTTAGCTGAAGAACGAAGTGGTCGAGAGGGCTTGTACTGTGTTAACAGTCCAGACAGATATGATGGTGACAAACCATTAAGCACCTTATATGTGAGCAGCAGGATTTTATACTGAATACGAAGATGTACAGGAAGCCAATGTAGATCTTTAAGAATAGCTGATATGCTATCACGTGGCTTCGCACCAACTACTAGCCGTGCTGCAGTATTTTGTATTCTTTGTAAGTTGTTTAGGTCAGTAGACGGAAGACCATACAAGATGCTGTTACAATGGTCAAGCCTTKAGCTAATAAAAGCATGGACAAGGCGATCAAGATGTTCACGAGTAAGATAACGGCGAATTCTTCCTAAGTTGCGTAAGGCTGCAGAAGAGGCTTTGCAAACGTTCTTAATATGTGTACGGAAATCAAKTTTGGAGTCAAATACGACCCCAAGGTCACGTACTTCATTTGAGAATTTGATGGACGCGCCCCCAACATCTAACAGCGAGATGGTTGATGGTTTTTTGACAAATCTCGAAGAAAACTGTATGATCTCAGTTTTATCTGGATTTGACTGCAACTTGTTAGTATTGTTYCAGTTAAAGATATCATTGATGCAAGCACGCAAACTTTGGAGTGCTGGCGATCTCCCATCACGGTTAACAGCGATGTAAAGTTGCGTGTCGTCAGCATAAATCATACAGTTAAGATCATGGCTCTTAACTATGTCTTCGATAGGAGAGGTATACAGCAAGAACAACAATGGTCCAAGGACTGAACCCTGTGGTATACCATACTTGATTGGAATGGAGGTTGATATAGAATCATTGATYTTGACTACTTGTGAACGGTCTGTTATATAAGAAGAGAGCCAGTAAAGTGCTGTACCACCAATGCCAAAAGTACAATGCAAACGATCCAGAAGTATACGGTGGTCARTGGTGTCAAACGCTGCTGACAGATCAAGGAGCACAAGCACCATTTCACTTTGGTTGTCCAACGCCCTCAGAATATCATTGGTGACTTTTACAAGGGCAGTCTCAGTAGAGTGGTGCTTTCTATACGCAGATTGCATTTCAGGATACAGATTGTTACAGTCCAGATAGGAATGAATCTGGTTGGCTACTGTTTTCTCAATGATTTTAGCCAAAAAAGGTAGATTTGCTATGGGTCTGTAGTTGGAAAAACAGTCCTTGTCTAGGTTTGGTTTCTTGAGCAGCGGACGAAGTAAAGACGTTTTAAGCTGACGTGGAAAATGGCCAGAAGTAACGATTGGTTGACGATTGATGCTATGGTAGGCATGAGGATTGGAATTGACTTGACAAGAATTGTCAAGAATTGTCAAGAATTGGATCGAGTAAACATGAGCTGTTTGACGAGGCAGCCACCATATCATGAATGGTCATAACAGGTAATGATTGAAAGTTGGTAAGTGTACTTTGACATTCCTTTCTTGCACAGAASCATTTTACTAATCTTTCTCCAGCACAATTTGAAATCCTGTACGATTTTCTTAACGATGTATGTCCGCTAGAAACTCTCACATACTGGGGACGTAAAGGGAAGATTAGACAACAAGTAAAATTCAGAAATTCACAGTGGTCGTTAAAGGAGAAGCTGTACATCTGCCTGCTAAGGCTAAAGACAGGTTTCATGATAAACACTTTATCTTTTTTATTGAGCACTCCCGATAGACAAATCAAGGAGAGCTTCATAAGGGTTATCTTTACTACATTTCTTCAGCTTATGTATAAAGTTTTTCGTGATATGGATGAAGTCATGTTCCCTTCGCGAAAGCTTTTAAGCCSCTTCTTGCCAAGAGTTTTCAAGAATCTAAAGAAAGTACGCTGTAGCATCGACTGCACAGAATTCCGCGTGGAAACATCTAGGAACTTTGCTCAACAAGGAAAGACATATTCATCATATAAGCACTCCAACACGTTCAAATGCCTTATTGCTTGTACCCCAAATGGGGGAGCTTGCTTTGTTTCAGATTTGTTCGAGGGTGACATTTCTGACGTAGAAATMTTTGAAAAAAGCGGTATTCTCAAGCACATTCAACCAGGAGATGTTATTCTAGCAGACAGAGGTTTCACAGTACAAGATTATTTATACCCACTGCAGGCCAAAGTGAAGCTTCCTGCATTCCTAAAGGGGAGAAAGAGCCTTAGCGCAAGAGAAGAGCTYGACACTRGAGTCATTGCAAAAGCAAGAATTCATATTGAACGCTACAATCAAAGAATCAAGCAGTTTAAGCTTATTGGGAGGAAAATCCCCCTATCGATTGCACCTCTTGCAACACAGATGGTCGTTGTTGCTTGTGGACTTGTTAATTTCCAAGTTAAGTTCTTTGTAAGTAGACACAACACAGATAAACAAATCATTGTTGACWACTTTATTGTCAATAGTGTATATAGAAATAACTAGAGTAAATGCAGTGACACAATATTCTTTATAATTACATTTATTGTGAGTATAAAGAAAAGCACTATTWAACTGCTGTATATGCGCCAAATCTGGACCAACAAGGCAGGGGCTTACAGCATTTTGCAAAATCAGTATATTTTTACGAAATAAAGTGCACATAATTTTCTGCACTTTGCAAAATATTTTGCTTTGCWTCACAAAATACTGATTTYGCAAAATGCTGRATRCCCAAAGCAGGCTTGTCAGGTACAGTTAATTTYRCACTTYTCTAACTCGCACATACACAGTTTGSGAAKCTATATGAMTCAAGCAACTTTTTGATGCAAAAATAARGTTTGGCAAATTTCTGCAGAATATTGGTRAAATTTCACATCAACTTTGCATGCACATTRGACAAATCTATGTGTTATGCTATTATATTGGAGTACCTTTCACACTGTTTCATAATTATAATTGTGTTAAGATGAATATAATTAATGGTAACTTTCTTGTGATGGTTATCGTTATAAGACTCAATATATAGCATTTTTCAATTTCACCAATATTCTCTAGAATGTTTGGCAAAATCYTGTTGACTTCATTGGCAATAATAATATAATTTATTTTGTGTGTGAATTCCATGAAAAATCTCAATGCCTTTACAATATAGTGTAACAACAACAATAATAGATAATAGAGAAAAGTTTACAGTATACAAATGTGTACTAATTACCCATTTTGGTATGAAAATCATTAKGAAAATAAATAATAGATAAATACTAATTTATTTGCAAATCTACAACACAAACAAAACAACAACACTCAAGATAGTGAGGGCCTGTGTTTGTAAGGATTATTTGTTATGTAGAATTTGTTTATAAATAACTCTTCATTGTTGCAATATATAGGAAATGTTAAAGGATTCTATATTTGTATTAATTTYGAACTCTCATAAAATAAATATTTCTGATGAAAAATAGTTTATAATTTTTTCTTCTACTCTGGCCAGTAAACCAAAAGTATTTCTGGTTGTTATCAATAATTGACCAGACAAATTGCTTGATTTTAAAAAAATACTATATTTTGTTAAAAGTCTTTGTTTCAAACTTCAGCAGTCAAAATTCTATAATAAACATTTTGATATAAAACATATTATATACATATATGATGAATTTTAAACCAAACAAGTTTTCTTTTTGTATAATAGTATTACTTGGCATAAAGAACATGGCTCAGAATATATCCATGCGGTGTGYTTTTGTATGAAGATATTCCAGATGTGGGAATTCTGTATTCTTTCATTCCATCATACAATAGMCATACATCATTGTGTTTCAGAATGCAAATGTAATGTGAACCATTCCACAATGTTACACTATGTAAAAGAAGTATTTGAGATGAAAGAGTTATAGCTGCAGGAAGRTTATCAAAAGTTAATTTCCCTGCCCTACTAGCCAAGTCCACGTTGAAGATGTAAACATTCTGCAAGTTGCAAAACTGACGTGATGTACTTGCTCTCTTACCATCGCAATGCCATGAAGGAGACTGTGTACCACTGATATCAATGGTAGTATGTTCTGAGTACAAGATTCCTGTATTTGGCTTTGAAATGAACTTTCGCTGGCACGTTGATACTCMAGGGTTAAGCCATTCTGATAAAGAATTCTCAATAGAATAGTTTTGATTTGACAGAGAATAGCTCAGGATGTTATTGCATGTTTTGTAAGTGATTTGAGGCAAAGGACATGAAGGTTGATTACATGTTGTAGTTACTTCACTTTGTAATACAGAGCTAAAAAGGGGCATATAGTAATCACATTACCATAAAGATCTAAAACGTTGGATGTCACAATAGGTGGTGTAGAGAGTAAAGTGAGCTTAGCATCTCCAAAGTGTCCAAGTTCTACTAAGTCAAGTGCAGTTTTGATGTCATTCCCTTTATCGAATCGGTGAAGATTGATTTTGTCCAACTTTACTAAACTTTGCAATATCATCATCCAGTTATCAAGGGGACAAGTATTGACAAGTGTTAAACCATGAGAAGTTATTCCTCCCCATGGTATTGATACAAGATTCATGTTATTTGTACATCTAGATGGTACCCTATGTCCAAAAGTACTAATGGGGGGTG